AGGTGGGTGCAGAGGGGGGGGCTGGAGCAGCCACCAGCCTGGTCCCCCCTTGTTGCAGTCCCCAGGCCACCCTAGCTGGGATGTGCTGTGAGGACATCCCAGGGGTGCAACCCTGTAAGTGCCACCTCCCAGACACAGTGCCAGTGCCAGCAGGGCTGCCTGGCACCACAGTGTCCAGCCAAGCTCAGAGGGGGCTGGGGACTCCTCCCCACCATCTCACCCACTCTCAACCTACTGCAGGAGCAGAGCACCATGCCACAGAGCCTGGCAGCACCCACTAAGACCAAGCTAGGCCCTTCAGCAAGGAATGTGCTCCATGTCCCCTGGAGACAGTCCCCTCCTCATCCCTATGACCCCAGTGGCTACAGACACGGGGGAAACCACCCTGCCATCAGCCCCCTCCCTGGCACTGCCCTAGCTGGTGCCCAGCACCCAATAGCATCCATCAAGCCCCACATCAACCCATAAATGCTCAGTGCTCTCCCAGTGCTCAACAGTAAAAGAGATGTTTGTCACTCTGGGGAGAGTGGAGGGGCTGGAGAGCCCAGCCATGGCCAGGGCTGGGTGGGCAGATCTCCCCCCACATCCTGGCCCTCAACCACTGCTCCCACTGCTGCACCATAAAGCTCTTTGGAAGGGGGCAGCAAGGTAGGCAAGCTGAGCTGAACCACCACAGCTTTGCTGTGCCAAGCCAGAGCCAGCAATAAAAACTCCCCTGCTGGCCCACAGCACTGGGCTGAGCTTTCCTAACACACCTATTTATTACCAGAATGATTATCAGAATTATTAGCGGAGGACTAGAGAGATAAGCAGGAGTTTTGCTCTCACCATGGGAATTAATAGTATCCAAATATTTAGCCTGCTCTAGCTGTGAACAGCAGCAGGAGCTCAGCTTGGCACCCTCTCTGGAGAGATGGTTCTCACTAGGGGGATTAAGTGCGAGTTTGACAGTACATGGTTTTGCTGTTTGATCCACAGTATTCCCTGGAAAGATGTGCCAAGGTCCAGCTTTGCCAGGTCATCTCATAAGCACTCTGTGTCTGCTGTTAGCAGGACCTCCTCGGGCTTGGGAAGAGTCTCTTTTGGGTCAGTATGGGGAAAGGTGCCTCTTTCATGAGACAAAAGTGATCTGCAGCAAGGTCTGTTTGCCAGGAGAGATCGATGCTTTGCACGGGGGCTCAGTGCCCGCGCTCCCCTGGTCTCCAAGCCCATGCTTTCTGGAATTCCTAAAAACCTGATTTCTGGGACCATTTCAGGGAATGCCCGGCCCTGATGTCTGGCACACGGGAGTGGACTTGGCTGAGCCAGTTGGTGCAGCCACCAAACCTCCAGCTTTCTCCTCTGGAAACCCACAGAGACTGGTTCTGCTTCTGCCACCCCCCCACTGAAAGCCCCATCCATTCCCTTGTCCTTCTACCACCACTCCTGCTGAGACAAGCTCCTTGCTCCCTGCACCATCAGGCTTGTGCCTTCCCCACCTGAGTTAGACCCAAGGGGCCACAGGGCTGGCTTAAATAGTTCATAAGTGTGTAAAGAAAATAGTTTAGGTTTAAAGAATAAGCCAAGAGCCACAGTTATCAGAAAAATAAACTGCCATGTGTTTCCTCCTTAGTAAAAACCAAATGAGTGGTGTTGCTTCCTGACCATGCTGGGGAGGGTGGGATAAGCCAAAGGGGCCTGGCAGGCCCTGTCCCCTCCTGTCTCTGTCCTCTTCCCTCCTACCCACATCCACCCTTCCCTGTCCTCCCTCTTCTCCTGCGCTGCTCCAGCTCAGTGTCCCCAACCAGAGCTGCTGCCGGGCGGGTGGGCTGAGCCTTGTGGCAGGTCTGGCTGGCAAGAAGGGGCTGTGCCTAGGCTGAAGGGGACAGGGCAGCCCCCCCGGTGTGGCAGGAGCCTGTATCCAGCCCCCAGGCTGCTCCCGGGTATGGCAAAACTAACAATAACCAGCTGCAAAGGGTGTCCCAGGAGCTGCTCCTCCAAAGCTGGCCATGCAACCCCAGGAGCCACCTCTGAAAGTGCTGACAAGGCTCCAGCCCCACACGGGGCTGCCCAGCAGGCTCCAGCACGGCTGGGAGGGACATCAGCTGCTCCAGCTCCCCTCTGCACAGAGCTGCATCTGCTGGGTGCTTTTGGCCAGGGCAGG